CCCCCACATACACACACTCACCTTGTACGGTGCACGTAGATCAGACTCCTCACAGATCACGTGGGACATGTTGGTACACAGGGACGCTGAACTTGACCTTCTCTGAAGACGAAGGTAAAAGGTCAAAGGTCAGACAGTTGAACTTAAAGGAAAATGTCTGCTAGAATTCGATTTATGGTTGAATTTTGGCGCAAATACGTCTCCCCTCTTCCCAATCAACCATTTGTACGTGTGCGTTACAAGGATGGAATTACGGTTGCTCTGAAACAACCCAAAAATTTCTCACTGATCTAAACAATGCGCACCACTTCATTAAATTTACTTATTCCAGCCTAGGAAAGTCCACTCCTTTCCTGGACATGTCCCTTCTCATTGCAGATAACCAAATTAAGACAGACCTGTATAAAAAACCTACCAACTGCAATCGTTACCTCCCCCCTTCTTCAAACCATCCTAAACATATATTCCCATCCGTGGTCTATAGTGGTGCCCTTAGACTCCGCCGCATTTGTTTCCTTGAAAATTCTTTTAAACAACAGATTGAGGAATTCACAGTTAACCTTCTTCACAGTGGGTACCGCAAAAATGGTATAACGCCCATTATCGAAAAAGTCAGCAAATTGAACCGCATAACCCTTCTGACCTACAAACCCCTTAAGCCTTAACAGAAAAGACCATTTTTCGTTACAACTCATAACCAAAAACTACAAAATGTACATAAAATCCTCAGCCAACATAAAAGCATATTTGGAAAACAATCAGACAAAATGAAAGCCTGTTTCCCCGATCCCCCTCTGATTCCACTTCGACAGCCTCCCAATCTTGGCAACCTCCTCATTCGCACTAGAGCAGTAACACCCACGTCCTCACCTCCGACAAGCCCATGTACCTCACCTCAAAATTATCCTTGTAAAAAAACTAGATGCAAAACATATGCTTACATGAAAGTGACCAACTTTGTAGAAGGCCTCCGCTTTAAAAGAAAACTTTCTCACAGCATCATAGCAAAAGTGTCATCTACCTCATATCTTGTTAAGTCTGTCCAGCTGAATGTAGGTCAAACTACCACCACACTTTGGACTAGAGATAGGTTTAATAACCATAGGTATTCAGTCAAGAAAAACTCATGCACAGCAGTTGGCTAACATTTCAACAGTCCTGGTCACAATGGAGTCTCCGATTTGCAGCTTCAGAGTATAGAAATAGTCCAATATCCAACTAGCTAAAGAAAAACTCAACCAAAGAGAATCAATGAGGATTTCAAATTTGAGGTCTCACAAAATTCTCACTGGCCTTAACATCGACGAGCCACATTTCAAGGACCTTAAATTTACAACGTAAAGTACTAATCACCCCTTGTATTCCAGTAACCCCCTCCTTTTAGCCCTGCCTTTCCGTTATATTCATTACCTCCACGCACTTGTTTCCTCTACAGCTCTCTCTCTCTCTCTCTCTCTCTCTCTCTCTCTCTCTCTCTCTCTCTCTCTTCTCTTTCACTCTCTCCCTCTCTCTCTTCTCTTTCACTCTCTCCCTCCCTCTCTCTCTCCGTCTCTCATTCTCTCTCTCTCTCTCTCTCTCTCTCTCTCTTTCTCTTTCTCTCTCTCTCTCTCTCTCTCTTTCTCTTTCTCTTTCTCTCTCTCTGTCTCTCTCTCTGTCTGTCTCTCTCTCTCTCTCTCTCTCTCTCTCTCTCTCTCTCTCTCTCTCTCTCTCCCACTTCTAGCCTTAGTATTCCCCTTCCTCTGGCCTTTCCGATTTGTGTTCACCGCACCTTTCAGCGTTATGACACGAATGTACGCACTTTGATTTCTTCAGCTGGTGAAGTCATTTATATTCTGAATGGTCCTGATGAAGCCCGTTGAGGGCGAAACGTTGAACGTGTCATTAAATATTTTGAAAATACTACTAGGTTTAAACCGTTTTACTCCCTGCTGTATACAATGATGATGAAGCCTAGGTGGCGAAACGTTGAACCCGATTCAATAAAACAAATTTTAAACATTTTATAATTATATTTTTTTGTCTGTAAATCAAGCAAAACTCTCCCTGATGCTCTGCTTTTTAAACAATTATGATGATGATGAAGAAGAAGAAGAAGAAGAAGAAGAAGAAGAAGAAGAAGATGATGATGATGATGATGATGATGATGATGATGATGATGATGATACTACAAATAATAAAACAACGAAGCAAAGACCAGCGACAACAGCAATAACGAAAACAACAAAAGCAGCAGTACCCACCCACGGCCCAGCCACCGCCCACCTGTGAGGAGTTATCCCCTGGACTGGCCAGTAGTTCTCTCCCACTGGTCTTGTCATCTGGGCCGAGAGGTTCTGGCGTTGTCCCTGGTACCACCAGCAGCTGGATGCGTGGTTTTATGTGGGGGTGTGGGGGGGGGGGGGAGTGAGGTGTTTTAGGCAGAAAGGGGGGGGGGGAGAAGAGAAGGATTGGTAGAAGGTAAAAAGGGGAGTTAAAACTGTTTTAGTTAGTCAGGTGATAGATCATGTAAGCACTTGTAGCAAATTTGGCGAGATGGAGGAAATGCTACCTTGAAAAACAATCTTTTGTGGTGACTTCAGCGTGCGAGGGTACTCTCAAAGGCGCAACTGCAACGACTCGAGGTGTTACAAAATGAAGGAATGAGGGCAATCCTGGGGTGCACACGAGACACCTCGGCTGAAGCAATGAGATACTTCCTAGACTTCCCATGTGCAGACGAGAGGCACAAACTGGCACAAGTCCCAGCCTTTCTGCGAGTCAGCTCAGAGGAGACGAACCCCCTACATAAGTTAGTGGGTCGGCAGATGACATCACGGCTAAAGAGGGACACAGAATGGATGACTCAAGCCACGAACACCATCAGCGAGTGCTGTCAGATACAAGACATCAGGAGAGGCCGGGATTGGGTCGTGCTCGAAGATGCGCTCGGAGAGTACGCAACAGTGAAGGCAACATTGGGTAGAGAATGTCGCAACTAGTCACTTGGATCTACGAAAGCTGAAATTGAAACCCAGATAGAAGAGCATAGCAAACATGGAGATGCTATGATCTTCACGGATGGATCAGCCAACAGAGGATTCAAATCGGGCTGGGCCTTCAGTGGCAGAGTTGATGGGGTAGTAGTGAAAGAGCAAAGTGGAGCAACTGCACATACAACATCAAGTATGTGTATGGAGGTCAAAAATCATAAGTGGGGCTCTACACTGGATCAAGAACACAAGCCATCAGCGAGCAGTAATCATTACTGACTCTATGAGCACACTACAGAGGGTACAGAAAGGGATGCTGTATGTGGACTGGAAGGCTACGATTAGGGAGAGCAGCCTGGAAAGAGTGGCCTGGATCTTCTGTCCGGGCCACGCAAGGGTAACCGGCAACCAGAGAGCAGCTGACTGGAGAAGGATAAGTGGGGGGATTTGACACTGGACCCACCAACCGTCCTAACCGCTGTAGTGTAAGGGAAAATTAGAGGAAGAATAGGGCAGATAGCGGTTCCCACACCCTAGGTAGACAGAAGGGGAAGGGGATCCAATGAGGAGAAGGGAAACACAGCCACCTGTGAGGACCAGTCCGACGGATCTCCAACCAAATTATGATGGAGACTATAAGCAGACAGACTCTGGGATGTATCCTGAAGAGCGGGATCGGGGAGCAGAGATGGGCATGGTCCGACTGTAGTGACCCCAACACAGTGAACAAGGTGTGTGACAAGGTGTGTGACTTGTAGCAAGTTAACAGATTTTATATATGATACGCTCTTTCACCGAGAGCCAGTAAAGTTCTTTTAAAATAGGAGTCACATGATCATGTTTTAGTTTCTTAGTAATTATTTTGGCAGCAATATTTTGTACTCTTTGTAGTTGTTGTAACTGTTCATCAGGTACACCAACAAGTAAGGAATTGCAGTAATCAAGCCTTGACAATATAAGTGATGTTTAAGTTTTGGTGACATCAACAGACATATATTTTCTAATGCTCACTATTTTCTTCAGTTAGAGATATAGACTTTTACAAAGATTGGATACATGTGATTTCATTGACATATCTTGATCTAGCACGACACGTAAATTTTTTATTTTAGTTTGGGCTGATATTTCATGGCCATTGATGTTTATACTGATATTGTCGATTTCATTGCATGCGCTGCTACGAATTGAAAATATTTCGGTCTTATCCTCATTTAATTTTAATTTTTTCTTGAGCATCCATTTTGTAATATCATAGATAAATCTGGCGATTCTATCTATTAGATTGTATACATTGTTAGTAGTAGTGAATCCATACAGCTGTGTATCGTCTGCGTAAAGATGATAATTGAGGGCATATTATAAATTATTTAGGGCAGACTTTGCGTGTACATTGTAAAGATGACAGGACCAAGGACTGAACCATGAGGATTTCCATACTTTAGAGGTAACATAACTGACACATCATTGCCAATTTTCGCTGACATAAATCTATTTTCTAGATATGATTTAAACCACATTAGAACAGTGCCTGGTAGTAAAAATGACTTTTCTAATCTCTATAGTAGAATTTCATGGTCGATGGTATCGAATGCGGCTCACAAATCAAGTGGAACCTAAACAGAGACAGCGGAAAATAAAGGCTATGCCTCCCCCTTCTCTGTTCTTCCGTGGAAAGGGTTTTATCGTTTTATCTCATAGCCTGGGTAACCGACTGCGACAATACGTGTTCCTCGTCTTTTTTGCGCAACCAAGCTTCTGTTTTTACACAAAATGTCTATGTTCAGTTCTACGATGGTGTCATTAATCATTAGGGGCCTACAGTCTTATTTCTACCAGACTGGGCGTTTATACAACAGGCGCTTTAGTACAGAATTCCTTCTTGTACGGTGTTTCTACTGTCAACTCTAATAAGGTACTTATTGTTGACTTTTTTAAATTTGTAGTCACTGAAAGAAAGACTCCATTGTTTTTGTTTCTGTGTTTACTTTTAGTAACACAGTCATAGTGGGGAAACTCGGGCTCTGAGTACACATTTTCAACACGCTGAGTTATTACAACTTTAATCGTGCAACATTTTCGTCCCCCCCCCCTTTCTTGTTGTCCGTCGGGTCTTCCTACGGCGGGATGGGGTGGACGGGGCGGGGGGTCTTCTCTTCTATGAGTGAGTGCTAATATGCTAAAATCAGCACACTTGTCAATAAAGTAAAACGGGGGGAGTGAAGTGAAAGAGACGAAAGATGAACCCACTGTAGCGCGCCCAACGCATTTGTTGTTGATTAAAAACAACATTCGCCAAAAAAGGGAGAAGAGGCGGATTCCCCCTCCCCCCCCCCCCCCCGCCACCCGAAAAAAGGTGGAGAAGGCGAATCCACAGTGTTCGCACGTTAAATGCTCGGCTGTTCAGTCCGATTGATCGTAGTAAACTCTCAGTTTTAGTTTTAGTAAGAGTTTTACGGCACTCGCAACTGCATAAGGTCATATGAGCGCCAAGAGTAAACTTTCTGGTTGTACACATGTGTACACGCTTTGGTTTACCTTTGGCTGGTGTTTTCGTTGTTGTTGGTGCAACTCATGGTGGAAAACAAGGAATAAAGATGTCCAGTAGAAGGCAATACGCTCCAACATGATTAGGAAATTAGCGAATTGCCTGCCAGATCCGTTAGCAAATTAATTTCATGATTTTGATGCTTTGAAAGTTCCTGAATAAGCACGTATAGAAAATAATCCAAACTGTAGCGAAAATATCTCCCAAAAAAGGCAAAAAACCTCAGAGCAGAGTGGAGCGCCTGGCGCTCAACACACTCACTCGTTGTCCACAAACACATAACAGACCGTGTCACGATGTTGCTAGTAAGGCCTAGTGTTTTAGCACTTTGACGTAACATCTCGCCGATTGGCGATATTTATCACCCTGTCTCTTTGGATTTCCCCATAAATGCCTTTGCCTCTGATGGCAAGGGTTTTCACTATATGAGCCTTGAGATGGCAAAGTATTAACGCCCGTACAATAGCTTTGGCGGGGACATCACTCATTTTATCCAACTGTGACTACCAACAAAAATGGTTTCCGTACATGAGGCAGGGGTTGCGTTAAGAGCCATTAATAGAGGCACGCTCTAACTCCGTATTCTAAATAAAATGTGAGGCAGCGTGGTGAAATCAGGCTCTCGTCAAAATAATGAAATCGAAGAAAGCAGCAGTTTTCTCCCTGCTTCGCAATTTTTATCAAATTGTTGTTTTTTGGCACAACACCTTTTATGTCTATGTACAAACACATTCCTTTGAGGATTTCACCGAAAAACGTTGATTAAAGGCACAAAAATATAAATTTACAGTTTCCATGGACTCTCCAGCTTTGGAATTTACCAAGCTTTGGCAGCTGTTTTCTCGCTAAATTTACCTCTTATACTAGGTGACCCCCACCTCCTTCAAACCAAAATATCTCCACTTCTATTGAAGATGTATGGACAATTTTTTCATTGAAAGCAAGACAAATGAACAAGCTTTATTAAGATGATACCAATAACTCAGTACGCCCCAAACTTGACGAGAGCCTGATTCCACCACGCTGCTTCACAAATGATTTAAATAATATTCTGGTCAATGCAGGTGTGAAAACACATCGTGCTACAATGTTTCAAAGAAGTGTCCTCACCTTCAGCTTTTCTATTTGTCCGTCTCCATGACCTTCACCCTGTCTGTCCAGCCTTCCTGGTGACTTTCCTGGCTCATTATTACAGCCGGTTGTCCGTCTTCCAGTGTGTAAGTGTGTGCGTGTGTGAGCGTGGATGGTAGTGGTAGGGGGTGGGGTGGGGTTGGGAGGGTGTAAAGGAATACGTTTTTAAAAGGACGTGCGGTGCAGTCGACATTGGCGAGACCAAATCAGGACTAAAAACAAATGTACAAATATAAAAGAAAACGTCGTAAACACTACCCTCTGTTGTGGTGAAATAGTGGCCATTATCAAGGCGACGGGGGGGGGAGTTCACCTAACCCATGTGTAGGATTTTTACTTTATCCTTCCTCTTGTACCTCCAGTATTATTTTAATAGTAGAGGGTTTTACGGCGCTCGCAACTGCATAAGGTCATATGAGCGCCAAGGGGTAGGTGTCAACAGAGAAGTCTTTACAGGGAATCAGACTAAGACTGCTCACCTCTCTAGCTTCAACAGCTCAAGGTCTGCTCCGACTATCAAGG